TGTATGTATGTATGTATGTATGTATTGAAACACATACACCACCCCCTTCTCTCTCTACTTCTTTCCTTCTCTGTCACTACTATAAAACTCTCTCTCTCTCTCTCTCTCTCTCTCTCTCTCTCTCTCTCTCTCTCTCTCTCTCTCTCTCTCTCTGCCTGCGCCATGACAAAAACTTGAACACACTGACTTGCATTTATATAATGCAACCCACATACCTTGTGGCTAGCATAGCCTTCAACATCCTACCCCCTCTCCGCGCAAAGAATGAAGACAAGCTTTATTCAACTTGTCGGATATAGATCTTTATTCTTGTGCAGTGTTTTGTGTGTACCTCCTTCAGTAACTCCGTGTCATTACTGCCACAACTGGCCAGACACACATTATAGAAGGCATCAAAGATTAAAACAATAAACAAAAATAACCTCTAATACGAAAAAAAAGAGAACAAACCTTTAAACAGGAGTCTTAGATCTATGGGGTAGGAAGAAAGATAAGGAGGAGGAGGAGAGAGGGGAATATATATAGAGAGATCGCCTAAAAAATAAACGTGTTTCTTTTCAGTTTCAGGCGATCGAGTCGGGCGATCGGCCCGATCCAGCCGTAGTAGGCACCCCGAATAAGGCGAATAAACTGCTGTTCAGTATCTGGCCGTTTTCTTTCTTTGATGTATTTGTTCAAAGTCAAAGTTATGCTATTTTTATTTCTATTCACTTCCTGAGCTGTCTGGGGGTCCTTTTTCTAAACTGGGTTATTTATTTTAGACTTAGTTCTTCCGAGGTTGTTGTATTTTACCACCTCACGCTGACAAAATCCCTTACCTCCGCCTCCGCCCAAGCCCCTCCCTCCCCCAATCCCCCACCCCTCGCCACCAAACAAGCTCTCTCCGGATGTCGTTACCTGTTAACTTTAATTTTAGAATATCTCTTAGTTCTGGGAAAGCTGCTTCCTTTCAATCTAGCACCACTGAACTTTTGATGAGTACTGTCAACCTTTCATTTTGTTCTTATGGATTTTTATTTATTTAGTTTATGGCACGCTGTCTTTTTTCTCTCATGTTTTGCCCACTTCGTTTTTCGCGGATGGATTGAATTCGCAGTTTGGACTGCCCAGGGTCATGAAATCCAGTGCAGTAGCGCCTCTTGAATTTTTGTGAATGACGCGAATAGCGAATTTCTTTCAAAATTACAACAAAAACAAAAACAAAACAAAAAACAACAAACAACGACACTTCAAGTCGCGCACGCGAAAAAACCCAACAACAAAAGCAAAC